AGGCTCATATCGGCCGATAATATCGGCAAAACGATATATCGGTCGGGCTCTAATTATTATTATTAATATTATCAGGCAACCCAAATCTGTTTCTTGATTTGAAACAATGTAACTCCTTAGAACATGCAGAAACTAAAATTTTGTTAAGGAAAATGAATGGCCTGGTTTCTACAACTTTCACTGTGGAGCAAAAATCTGGCTTTAAACTTGAAAGAAATAAAGATTTGACATTTATCATGATAATTATCGTTATCGACTGATATGAAAAATAGCATCGTGATAATTTTTTTGGCCATATCGCCCAGCCCTACTGCTAGCTTAAACTTGTAACTTGTCCTACAAACGGAAGTCCGTCGTTTCTCACTTAGTGATGTAAATCAACAGTGGCAATAACACACGAGGCATTTCCAACATCTCTCACATCATTAAACACTTGTGGACGTTGGCTAGTAATCCATCTAAAAGAGAATTCGGACCATCAGTCATAATCTGGACCTATTAGTAATTTGTCAATATCTATGAGTGCTAGATCCTCTTGGAGAATTTGCAAGTAGACAACTACTTGTTTACTTCTGTAGCCCAAAGTGACTAAGCACAAACTGCATGGTACAACCAAGAGTCACACATGTCCCAGCACACAATGGTGAGAGAGAAACGACTGACTTGGTAGGACAAGTTACAAGTTTAAGCTAGCAGTTTGTTCAAATCACTAACCCTAAGTATCAGGAACAGTAACAGTGATACTTGTCTTAGCAAGCACCACTAAATATAGCACACTGACCACTTGACCTCAGAATAAAGCCAGGAGTTCAGGAGGATGGGTTACATGCCAGACGAGTATTATTGGTCTCTCTGGCCAATGGTCAACTGTTGTTTTAAAAAACAGCTAATTTTATTAATAGATACATTCTCCAGGTAAGCCAAAAGCATAATTAAAAAAAAATTATAATAATTCAATATTAGCTAGACATCGATTTCACTGTGTGGCTAATGTTCGCAGCATTAATAATATCAAGGCTCAAAATACTAAACTATTTTAGCATGTGTGTTTGGCTCAGTGTTATTTTATTTAGGATTACTGATAAACTACTGTAGTTTGATTTGTATTAGTTATCTATTTTAGTTACAGTTACAGTTGTAGTAACGTTGTCATTTTATTAGTTTTTTATTATGTCTATATAGGTTTTTTATTAAGTTTAAGTTTTCTTTAATTATGAGTTATTTCAGTACTTCCACATACAAAATGGAAATGAAATAATATATATATATTGAATGTATTTATATATATGTACATGTGTGTGTATGTGGCTGTACATACACATATGTAGTTGTTTTTTGGTGTTTGGCTTAGTGTTATGTTAGAATCATTATTATACGCATACCTTTTGCTCTTTTAATATTTTGAATTGTTTTCAGCTTTATTATTTTGTTTTCATTTAAATGTTTAGTTTTGAAATGTTGTTGTATGCATTTGTCATTTTTATTTAATTTCCTTTATTTTCTTAAATGTGTGTGTATATATATAGTATTTATAGAGTTTTAGCTTTTAGTTATAATTACTTTTTCTTATTTGTAAGTCACTTTGGATAAAAGCGTCTGCTAAATGACTAAAAGTTAAAGTCAAAAAGCATAAAAAAAATTATTTTTTTCCAATATTAGCTAGACATCGACTTCACTGTGTGGCTAATGCATTAATAATGCATTAATAATAATATCAAGCCTCAAAACACTAAACTGCAGAAGCATGAGGTCCAGCATGACGTCATCAGCAGCACGTGGTGTGACACGCCCACTGCACAGCTCACACTAAACCTGCACACACGCCCACTGAACAGCTCCCACTAAACCTGCACAGTGCACACTAAACCTGCATACACGCCCACTGAACAGCTCCCACTAAACCTGCACAGTGCACACTAAACCTGCATACACGCCCACTGAACAGCTCCCACTAAACCTGCACAGTGCACACTAAACCTGCATACACGCCCACTGAACAGCTCCCACTAAACCTGCACAGTGCACACTAAACCTGCATACACGCCCACTGAACAGCTCCCACTAAACCTGCACAGTGCACACTAAACCTGCATACACGCCCACTGAACAGCTCCCACTAAACCTGCACAGTGCACACTAAACCTGCATACACGCCCACTGAACAGCTCCCACTAAACCTGCACAGTGCACACTAAACCTGCATACACGCCCACTGAACAGCTCCCACTAAACCTGCACAGTGCACACTAAACCTGCATACACGCCCACTGAACAGCTCCCACTAAACCTGCACAGTGCACACTAAACCTGCATACACGCCCACTGAACAGCTCCCACTAAACCTGCACAGTGCACACTAAACCTGCATACACGCCCACTGAACAGCTCCCACTAAACCTGCACAGTGCACACTAAACCTGCATACACGCCCACTGAACAGCTCCCACTAAACCTGCACAGTGCACACTAAACCTGCATACACGCCCACTGAACAGCTCCCACTAAACCTGCACAGTGCACACTAAACCTGCATACACGCCCACTGAACAGCTCCCACTAAACCTGCACAGTGCACACTAAACCTGCATACACGCCCACTGAACAGCTCCCACTAAACCTGCACAGTGCACACTAAACCTGCATACACGCCCACTGAACAGCTCCCACTAAACCTGCACAGTGCACACTAAACCTGCATACACGCCCACTGAACAGCTCCCACTAAACCTGCACAGTGCACACTAAACCTGCATACACGCCCACTGAACAGCTCCCACTAAACCTGCACAGTGCACACTAAACCTGCATACACGCCCACTGAACAGCTCCCACTAAACCTGCACAGTGCACACTAAACCTGCATACACGCCCACTGAACAGCTCCCACTAAACCTGCACAGTGCACACTAAACCTGCATACACGCCCACTGAACAGCTCCCACTAAACCTGCACAGTGCACACTAAACCTGCATACACGCCCACTGAACAGCTCCCACTAAACCTGCACAGTGCACACTAAACCTGCATACACGCCCACTGAACAGCTCCCACTAAACCTGCACAGTGCACACTAAACCTGCATACACGCCCACTGAACAGCTCCCACTAAACCTGCACAGTGCACACTAAACCTGCATACACGCCCACTGAACAGCTCCCACTAAACCTGCACAGTGCACACTAAACCTGCATACACGCCCACTGAACAGCTCCCACTAAACCTGCACAGTGCACACTAAACCTGCATACACGCCCACTGAACAGCTCCCACTAAACCTGCACAGTGCACACTAAACCTGCATACACGCCCACTGAACAGCTCCCACTAAACCTGCACAGTGCACACTAAACCTGCATACACGCCCACTGAACAGCTCCCACTAAACCTGCACAGTGCACACTAAACCTGCATACACGCCCACTGAACAGCTCCCACTAAACCTGCACAGTGCACACTAAACCTGCATACACGCCCACTGAACAGCTCCCACTAAACCTGCACAGTGCACACTAAACCTGCATACACGCCCACTGAACAGCTCCCACTAAACCTGCACAGTGCACACTAAACCTGCATACACGCCCACTGAACAGCTCCCACTAAACCTGCACAGTGCACACTAAACCTGCATACACGCCCACTGAACAGCTCCCACTAAACCTGCACAGTGCACACTAAACCTGCATACACGCCCACTGAACAGCTCCCACTAAACCTGCACAGTGCACACTAAACCTGCATACACGCCCACTGAACAGCTCCCACTAAACCTGCACAGTGCACACTAAACCTGCATACACGCCCACTGAACAGCTCCCACTAAACCTGCACAGTGCACACTAAACCTGCATACACGCCCACTGAACAGCTCCCACTAAACCTGCACAGTGCACACTAAACCTGCATACACGCCCACTGAACAGCTCCCACTAAACCTGCACAGTGCACACTAAACCTGCATACACGCCCACTGAACAGCTCCCACTAAACCTGCACAGTGCACACTAAACCTGCATACACGCCCACTGAACAGCTCCCACTAAACCTGCACAGTGCACACTAAACCTGCATACACGCCCACTGAACAGCTCCCACTAAACCTGCACAGTGCACACTAAACCTGCATACACGCCCACTGAACAGCTCCCACTAAACCTGCACAGTGCACACTAAACCTGCATACACGCCCACTGAACAGCTCCCACTAAACCTGCACAGTGCACACTAAACCTGCATACACGCCCACTGAACAGCTCCCACTAAACCTGCACAGTGCACACTAAACCTGCATACACGCCCACTGAACAGCTCCCACTAAACCTGCACAGTGCACACTAAACCTGCATACACGCCCACTGAACAGCTCCCACTAAACCTGCACAGTGCACACTAAACCTGCATACACGCCCACTGAACAGCTCCCACTAAACCTGCACAGTGCACACTAAACCTGCATACACGCCCACTGAACAGCTCCCACTAAACCTGCACAGTGCACACTAAACCTGCATACACGCCCACTGAACAGCTCCCACTAAACCTGCACAGTGCACACTAAACCTGCATACACGCCCACTGAACAGCTCCCACTAAACCTGCACAGTGCACACTAAACCTGCATACACGCCCACTGAACAACTGCACGTTTTAACAGATTAAAAACTATCTGGCGCTTATGTGAAATGTACCTAATTCTTTACTGTATACCTGCAGGAACGCTAACACAGGTGCTGCTGTGTCATGCACTTGAACAAAACCATCATGTTTGTTCAGTCAAACCAATACAAAATGTGAACAAAAGAGAGACATATATATATATATATATATATATATATATATTATAGCATATTATATGCAGACGCAGAGATGATGCTAACACGCGTCAGCGCACTGTAACGCGATGCTAGCTCACAGACGCGCACTACAGCGACGTAAACAAACCCCGGTTACTACGCGCTGCAGTGAGCAAGACTGACACACAGCACGGGTTAAACTCACTGCGGAGGTTGTTGACGAGCTCCGCGTGGCTCGCTCCTCCGGATTTCCAGGCCATTATTAAACACACTCCGCGGATCAGGTAGAGTGCGGCTGTCAGCGCCGCGCATGCGCACACCGCTCTCCCGACGAGCGTCAGCACGTCCAGCGCGGATACGTCACCAGCACGCTGATCAGTGCTGCGTTCAGCTCCGACAAAA